CTTTAAAAGGCGGTGTGCGCGCCAGCCGTGACGCCCGGTGGAGGCTCTGGCTGTGAAGTGTGTGTGTATAACACGCAAGGAAGGCGGTCAAGAGATGGTCCCTTTCCGGTGGCCCTGGGACGGTCTGTAACACCGTCCCTTAGGGGTGCTGAGGATGTCAGGGAGTGTTGCCAAAGTTTAGGTTTGGAAATCTAGACTCTTGACGGAGAGCGAAATTAAGAAAAACATAAGATGGCAGGGTCTTCTCAGGAATGCGGACTTACTGTTAGGCCTGGTGAAGAATTAGCGTGCCTCCCAGTAGCCAATGAACACTGAACTTAGGCAATGCATTCTGTCTTCAGCCCGCTTCCCCTCTCGACAGCTGTGCCATCGTAAGTACATCTCTATGAGCAGGTTAATGGGAGTGAAATGAAAGTCTGGTTTACAACTGAGAGAGTCAAGGGTACCCTGCAGAAGGTCTCTACTGACAGGGCACTCTGTTCCTCAACAGTTTACCAACTGCAGGGTGCCAGAGACCAGGCAGTGACCAGTGTCCCAGCCCAACTTTCAAGGGGGAGAAGGGGTTGTAGAACTGACAGATTGAACCAGAGTCTACATACATAAATGCTGAATGGATGGAATAGTGAATCGTAACAAAACGAGGCATAGTCTCATAGGAAAGTGCAAGGAAAAAAGACAGTAATGCATATGGGCAGTTTTCATATAATAGGTTGTGTGCTTGGTCTCTGGAAGGAAGGTAACTGCTCAGTTTCATGCTGATGCTGTATTTGGAGTTTTTGAAGTGTGTGTGTGCTTAAGTGCACGTGGGCACACACACATACTCCTAGCCAAGACCAAAGAGTTTGATGTCATATTATTCAGGTGATGTTAAAATGAACCTGGATAATTATTATTATTTGAGAGGATGTGGTTAGGGATTGAGTCCAGGGCCTCTAGTTTAATGCTAGGCAAACACCTTGCCACAGAGTCATGTCCCCCAGCCATCTTCTTGCTTTTTGTTTTGAAAGGTCTTGCTGTATTGCCTGGCTAGCCTTCACTCTGTAAGCTTAGAAGGAACTTGCATTTATGAGCTTTCTGCCTCAGCCTCCCAAATGGCGGGGATTATGGGCCTGGTTTGAACTGGAAATTCTGATTAGTCCTAAGCCTTTGTGCTCTCTGCCTGTAGTAGCTAATGCACAGGTAAGTATACGCTCTATGTAGGACTGTCGAAGCAACTTGTATGTGGTGTCCCTTCACAGTCCACATTACCAGCTCCCTAGAGCTCAGAGTTCACCTCATTAGCACAGGTCATTGTTTTGTGGGTATTCTGTTAAGTAAGATGACGAAAGGTATCTAGAAAATGGCAACCTAGTCTGGTAAAATAACTGAAAACTAAAGAAGTTTCTCATCGTTTCTAGAGAAATCCTTAAAGATTTAAAACACAGCAGATCTGAGTTGTATTAACTATGCTTTTTTTTTTTTATCTTTGAGACAGTCTTGCTTTGTCTCTGTCTCCCAAGTGTACAATGTGGTTATTTTCCGTAGATGTCTTAATTAGAGAGAGAGTGTGTGTGTGTGTGTGTGTGTGTGTGTGTGTGTGTGTGTGTTGGAAGACCACAGACAGCTGTAGGAACCAGTCCTGGGAACAGGAGAGGGGTGGAGAAAGAGTCTTAGAGAAGACAGCAGCAGCCTGAGAAGGAAAGAGGCTGTGTGAAGCAGTTGAGGGAACAGGTAAGGGAAGAAAAGAGAACGGGACATTTTCATCAAGCTTTTAAGTTTCACACAGAATGGAAGGTCTGGAACCTGTCATAGTTCATCACTGTCAACTTGGAGTCTCCTAGAAGACACACCTCCAGATCTGTCCTTCGGATGTTCCCAAGGAAGTTCAGCTGAGGGGCTGCCCTGACTGTGGTGGTACTTATTGTCAGTAGTCAGTTGCCTGAGGACTTGCCCTTTCAGACCCCTGCTCAGTGAAGCTGGATCTTGGACTACACTGCACAAAAGAATACCAGGATGAGAAAGAGCAAAGCAGGTTTAGTAAGCTTGTCAGGCAGTGGTGAGGAATAGAAAGTAAGTGCTTATTTATTATTTTACTTTCAGCATTTTACTGTGTGCACATGCACTCACTCCTCCATATGTGTGTGCAAGTGTGCCCGGCACCACAGCCCCAGTACAGAGATCAGAGAACAATTCACTGGAGTGTGTTTTCTCCTTCCACTCAGGTATCAGTCCTGGTGGCAAGTACCTTTGCCTGCTGAACCATGTCCCTGGCCCAAGCATGGTGGGGTGGTGCTTAGTTTAAAAGGATAGCACACACCTAAGACATGGGTATGGCTTCTCAAGAGGACAAGTCCACAGGTGTCTTCGGTGGCTATATATAAAAGTCTATGTCCAGAGTGCATTGCTCAAGGGATATAGTTTACTGCAAGACTAAATAAAAAAAGGATAACACTTGTCTTAATTACTGTTCTATTGCTGTGAAGAGAGACCATGACCAACTTTTATAAAAGAAAGCATTTAACTGGGAGCTAGCTTACGCTTTCAGAGTTACTCCATCATGATACTGGAGCAGTAGCTGAGAGCTTTGTGTCCTGAACTGAAAACAGCAGACAGAAAGAGATGCTGAGCCTGCTGTGGGCTCAGAGCCCACCCCCAGTAGCATGCCTCCTACTCCTTCCCAAACAGTTCATCAACTGGGAACTAAGCATGCAAATATAGAAGCCTATGTGAGCCATTATCATCTAAACCACAGCACTGGCTTGTGTTCCTCAAAGAATTTCCCTTGTAGGGAAGTGGTTTTCTGAGGTGTGCTACTTAGATTTAAAGATGAGAGGAGTATAATACAATCACACTCAAGGCCACAAACACTCTGGGCCTGACCAGATCAGACATGCCTATAATGCCAATACTTGGGAAATAAAAACAGGAGCATCAGGAGTTCAAGTTCATCTTGAGCTATGTAGAATTGAGGCCAGCTGGGACTACATGAGACCTTGTCTCAAACAACAAAAACCCACATGAAAATATTTTAAATCTATATCAGTTTTTCTGTAGTTTTACATAATGCCAATTAACTTAGCTACATAATTTTCTCATGTTTATGACAATAATTTATTGTGTCATAATTTGAGAACATATTTAAATTATTTATAAATATAAAAATATTTAAAGAAATAAAAGTTGGGGATGGAGAGATAGTTTAACGGTTAAGAGGACCTGGATTTGATTCCCAGCACCTATATGGTGACTCACAACTATCATAACTTCAGTTCCAGGGGCTCTGACTCCCTCTTCTGACTTCCACAAGCACTGTGTGCACATGCTGCACATATGGGCAGATAGTACTCTTGCACATAAAATTAACCTTTAAAATTATTGTGTGGGGGCTGGAGAGATGGCTTAGAGGTTAAGAGCACTTACTGCTCTTCCAGAGGTCCTGAGTTCAATTCCCAACAACCACATGGGGCTCACAACCATCTATAATGAGATCTGGTGCCTTCTTCTGGCCTGCAGACATACATGCAGGAGGAATGATGTATACGTAATAAATAAATCTTTAAAAAATAAATAATAAAATTATTGTGTGGGGGAGGTGTGTACTTGTTTGTTTTAAAGAAATAAACTTTAAAGAGATAGCTAATATATTTCCTCACTGGTGCGGAACCTTCTGTCCTGTGGCTCTTGGAGACAAAGTGCCTATTCTTGGGATTGGGCCCTGTTGTCTTTGAGCATGCAGCCCTCTAGACTGGCCTCTTACGGGCGATCTGTTATCCTGTATTTCTGTGCTGAGGAACTGAACTTGATTTCAGGATTGAACAGGCAGGGGAGTCTAGGCAGTACTGCTTACGAGCCCTTTCTAGGGCTTCTGTGATAGCTCTGGGTTCAGAGCAGGGACTGAGAAGCAGTGACCAGCATCCAGAGTATTTCTCATCACTTTCATCAGGTGTGCTTGCCAGCAGGAAGTCTCAAGGCAAATAGTGCTCTCAAATAAGCTAAACTACAGAAAGGCATTCCTCCCAGGGGAGTAATAACGGCCCAAGGGAGCAGAGCTCATACAGCAAGGTAATGAGGGGAAATCTGTTGTTACATTTTGGGGAGTGGTTGTTGGAGACAAGATTTCTCTGTGTAACCCCGAATATCCTGGAATTCTGTAAACCAGGCTGGCCTGTACTCAGAGATCTGCCTGACTCTGTTGCTGGAGTGTTGGGTTTAAAGGTGTGTGCCACCACTGCCTACCAGTTAAAAGTTAACTTTTAAGTTGGCCATTTTACTGAGATGAGACTTAATTACAGAATTGGCTCATTTGACCTTTGCCTTTTTATTAATGTGTGTTTGTGGCCAAATGAGAGTGTGTGCACCATCTCTGTGCAGGTGTGCATGGAGTTCTGGAAAAGGGTGTCCAGTCCCCTGCAACTAGAGTTACAGGAGATTGGGAACTGCTGATGTGGGTACTGGGAACGAGCCTGGACCCTTGAGAGCAGTGAGCTCTCTGCACTGTCTCTCCAGCCCTTATCTCTTCCTTTGTGAGCGTCTTTCTTTCCCCAAAAGACACCGAGAAAGAGAGCTGCTAAGCAGAGCATCTTGCCACAGAAATCATAGCTTTGGCAGGGCATTGGTGGTGCACGCCTTTAATCCCAGCACTCGGGAGGCAGAGGCATGCGGGTCTCTGTGAATTCATGGCCAGCCTGGTCTCCAGAGCGAGTGCCAGGATAGGCTTCAAAGCCACAGAGAAACCCTGTCTTGAAAAACCAAAAAAAAAAAAAAAAAAAAAAAAATCATAGCTTTTCCAGATAGTAAACTCCATTTTTACATTTTCCATGTTTTTCTGAATGCATTCTCCACTTGGTGCCATTATTTGATACTGCTGCAGTCTGTTTCATGCTGATGGCAGTTTGAGACATTGGTTTTAGGTCACTATAGAAAGGCTTTTGGGCCGGGCAGTGGTAGCACTCTCCTTTAATCCCAGCACTCAGGAGGCAGAGTCAGTCCGATCTCTGAGTTCATTAGAGGACAGCCTGGTCTACAGAACAAGTTCCAGGATAGCTAAGGCTACACAGAGAAACATTATCTTGGGGGAAAAGACGAGAGGGTGAAGGAGATGCAGACTTCTAGAAGTAGCTTCCTTTAAAGGCTTGGGTTTGGAGTGGGTTTTGGTTGGTTGCTTGATTTCTCTTGTATGAGTTTCTCTGTAACTAGAACCTGCTGTCTTGCTTTCATCTCGGCCAGGCTTGGGGGTGATGGGTGCGCATCCCCATGCCCAGCAAGGTCTGTATGCTTTACTTTTAATAAGTGTACAGTTAGAAGTCTTTGTTTCTTAGCTTAAACAGATACTTATAAAATAGTCCACTTCTACTGTGCAGAAAACAGCAAGCAACAACTAAATCAGAAAGCCAACAATAATAAAACCAAGTTCAGTGGATGCATTAAAAAAAACAAAAACAAAAAAAACAAAACACAAACAGCCAGGCAGTGGTGGCACACACTTTTAATCTCAACATTTGGGAGGCATAGGCAGGTGGATCTCCAAGTTCAAGGACAGCCAGGCATATTCAGAAGTCCTGTCTGAGGATGTGGGGGAGACCTCAGTTGCTCTGTTAGGATGGGGAAATCTTTGTGCCAAGATGGGGAGTAGGGCTTATGGGGATATGAAATTGCATTTGTGAGTATTTTTAATTCCTATGGAGTGAAAGTTCTTCAAGTCTACCACAAAGTTCATGTGATCTTGTTTCACAAAAATATAGGCAACTTGACAGAACTGGCAGGTTTTAACATTTGTGTGGTGTCCTTGGTAAGGGTCTGGGAGAAGTGCACTGGGGAGTAGATCTTCCTTCTCGCCAATTATCTTTGAATAATGACTACTGTTGGCTATAAATACTTACTTGGGTTCTGAAGATTCTTTGTACACTGGATCATTTAAACTCACAACTTATACCCAACTGTCCTTTCAGCTATTCTCTGGAGCAAGTTCAAGCTTTTTATTCATTTCCATTTCAACAAATGATGGCTGAAGCTCCCAATATGGCAGTCACGACTGAAGAGCAGATGCCAGCAGAAGCTCCTGCCCAGGAACCTGTACCAGGTAGTTCTTAGCATGCTGGTTTAAAGCCATGGCTTCGTCCCTGAATGCCTCCTCCCCTGGTAAAGCAGTAAACAGATGTTCCTCATCTGCACACCAAATGCTGCACAGGGGCACAGGTGGCTACCTGAGACCTTACAGCACTAGCATCTAAATTGGTCCAAGGGCTCAGAGGAAGCAGAACACGAACACAGGAGCTCTGAAAGTGGAGGTAGAACGACATCCCATGAACAACAGAGAAGACAAGGCACCGGCTGAGGGAAGAGTTGAGGCCTGGCAGCAGACCCCTGAGTGGTTGTGTGGCTCCTGGAGTATAGATGGAAATGGTGGGAGATGGGGCAGTCAGGCTGTGTTGACCCTAAGGAGCACACTCTATTCCCAAAGTTATAGAGAGCTGCAGTGTTGAGAGGATGGGAGCAAAGAAGTGACTTCAGTGGACATTTTAAAAGTCAGTCTGGAGGATATTCTAGGAGCAAGACAGGCTTGAAGGCAGGGAGTAGATTAGAGACTATTTATATAAGCTGGGGAAGATATGAAGAATATTGAAGAACATGGAGAAAGTTGGGAAATACTCAAGGTAGAGGACATGTCTACCATTAATATAGTTCATGTAGATGCTGAGGGAGAAGGAGAAACCTGAAAGTACCCGTTGTGGTCCTTTACATGATTGTAAAGATATACTTGAGGCTGGGTGACATTATGTTTATGCTATGTGTGCTTACCTGCTGTGTGTCTGTGCACATGTGTGCCTGGTGCCCACAGAGACCAGAAGAGGGCATCATATCCCTAGAACTGGAGTTACAGAGAGTTGAGCTGCCATGTGAGTCCTGGAAGTTGAGCTCAGGTCCTCTGGAAGAACAGCAATGTGCTCTTAACCACTGAGCAATATTCCCAGCTCTGAGTGACATTTTTAAGAAGTGTGGTTTTGTTTTTGTTTTTTTTTTAATGTGTATGGGTGTTTTATGTGCATGTCTGTGCACTACTTGTATGTCTGGTGCCTTCAGAGGCTAGAAGAGGGTGTGAAATCTCTTGGAACTGGAGTTGTAGATGGTTGTAAACTGCTGTGTGAGTGCTGTGTCCTCTGCAAGAGCAGCCAGTGCTCTTAAGCACTGAGTCATCTCTCCAGCTCCAAGAAAGGGGTTTGTGCACAGTTCTAAAGGTTTGGTGGCTTAGCACCATCATGTGCTTAGCTCTGGGAAGCCCTGGTGACAGTCGGCACCACAGTGACAGAAGTTCATGTAAGAGAGAGAGACAGGAAGTCACAAAGACAGGGTCTGATAGTGCCTTCTCGGGGCGTTCCCCCAGTTAACCCCAGGGCCTTACCTGGCTCCACTTCCTAACAGTTCCATACCTCCCAGGAAGGCTACCGTGGGACGAAGCATCAAACACAGGAACTTTGGGTGGACAAACTCAAGCATTGTTCAAAGCATTCTTAGATTTCTGACACAGAGTTGGTTGCAGGAAGTGCCACACACTGAGATAAGGAATTAGAAGAAAAGCCAGATAGATTAAGGAGAGGTGGAGGTGGGGTAGCAGTAGCAGAATTTACATGAGGAATGTGTGCAGAGTTGGTTTATAATTTCAGGGCTGTGCCTAATTTATTGTCTCACTTCTGTGTTTGCAGACGTGGGGCACTAGGGCTTCCCCAGCTGCTAGGCTGTGGTGGTAAGGAGGCTTGAAGCAGCCCTCTAGGCTTGGTTGGGAAAATACATAGTAGATAAATGGGGCAGAAGCCTGAGAAAACGGGAAAGCTTTGAGAGAGAGAAAGGTGAGGAATCAAGGGTTCCTGTTGTGTCATTTCTACCTGGCAGTCCTGACAGCCAAGTGTCTCTTGACAATGCTAATGTCACCTGAGTCTCAGAGGATTCTGTCATGTACTGATAGACTTCCTGTAAAGTGGTCCATAGATCCCCGGGGAAACCAAGAAGCCCAGTGACATTGTATAGAAAATCAGTCTGTTACTATCTTGTGTGCCTAGACAGAGAGGAAAAGGAGGTGAACACATTGTAGAGACCAGTGTTGGGAAATTCAAGGCCATAACTGGGATCACATAACATGGGTGCTCATAGGGTGACTGCTGTGGAATCTCCTGAGTTTCTAAGTTAAGGTTTTCCATAGCCATGTTCTGGAAATCACTGTGTTTCAGAGGCTCCAAACAGAAGAAAAAGAAAAGCCAGAGCATCAGAACCCAAGGACCCAGTGGAACCCAAAAAAACTGCCGGGCCAAAAAAATCTGGCAAGTCGACAAAGTCAAAAGAAAAACAAGAAAAAATTACAGACACATTTAAAGTGAAAAGAAAAGTAGACCGTTTCAACGGTGTTTCTGAAGCTGAGCTTTTGACCAAGACCCTTCCTGATATTTTGACCTTCAATCTGGACATTGTGATTGTAAGAATTTTTGTCCTTGTTGGCAGTAAATATCACTAGAGCATTAACTGAGTGTTCCTCACAAGTAGCATGCTACTGAAAAGGTTTCTGAGATTGGGGCTGCCTGGGTTCAAACCTTCCAACAAGGAAAGGCCCTGGGCAAAACTCCATCCTGTAGTTTTATCACTAATGAACATGTGACTGCCTCCCTCCCAGGGTTGCACTTGAATGAAATAACCCATGTGAACCACTTAGGTTGCAGGATAGTTGGTAGTACTCTGGAGTGATTTTGCTTTTGATATTTTGAGATACACTCTATGTAACCCTGGCTGGTCTCAAACTTGCAACAATCCCAGGTGCCTCTGACTCTGTTACAAGCCCAAGCCACCACATCCAGCCTGATAGTACTAAATCTGAGCTTGTGTCTGCAACTGTAAGGAACACTAGAGCCTAATGAACATCAGTGTACAGTTGTGTAGATATCATGTAGAAGAAATTACTGTTTGGGAGGCCGACAGGACATGGCTGAGACTGGCTGCTGGAAGGCCTGCCTCTTTCCTGACTGATGGCAGCCTGCCTCTGTAGGAGGCCCAGCTGGTGTTTGAAAACGGCAGCAAATAACAGAAAAGAGTTTCTATATGCTGCAGCAATTATAATCAGTTCTATTTATCTACGGTTCCTATCCGTTTACCTACCACTCCTGTATAAAAGCACTAAGGCTTAAGCCTGACTTTTTTTTTTCTCTTAAATCAGATTTATTTATTATATATACAGTGTTCTACCTGCATGTATGCCTAATCACCATAAGAGGACACCAACTCCCATTATATATAGTTGTGAGCCACCATGTGGTGGGAATTGAATTCAGGTTCTCTGGAAGAGCAGCAATGCTCTTAACCACTGAGCCATCTCTCCAGCCCTCTTTTTTTTTTTTTTTAAGCATGTAATAATTGTGCAATAGGCTTCATTGTGTTTCATACATGTATATATACATGTATATGATGTACTTTGTTTGTATTCACTGTCCAGTTACCTTCTCATCTTTCCTTCCTTGATCTTTTTTTCTTATTAAATAGTCTACCCTTTTTTCTTTCTTTTTCTGTTTTTTTTTTTTTTTGAGACAGGGTTTCTCTGGGTAGTCCTGGCTGTCTGTCCTACAACTCTCTCTGTAGACCAGGCTGGCCTCGAACTCAGAGATCCACCTGCCTCTGCCTCTCTAAAGGCATGCTCCACCACAGCCTGGCTTTCTTTTTTTTTTTCTTTCTTTCTTTTTATTTTTTTTGTCATTATTCTCTCATATTTTATCCAGACCACAGTTTCCTCTCCCACCCCTCCCTGCACTCTCTCCCCCACCTCTGCTTTTTCCCAGATCCACCCCATCTCTGCCTCCCCTCAGAAAAGAGCAGGCCTCCTGGGGAATTCAAGAAAACATGGCATAAGCTACAATAGACTAGGCACATCACATCTAGGCTAGACAAAGCAACACAGTATAGGAGGGAAAGGGTACCCCACAAGTAGGCAAAAGAGTTAGAGACAGCCCCTGCTCATTTTTTTATAGAGAATTTTTTTCAGAAAAACACAAAGTAATTTAGTATACTGCGTAGTGCAGGGGTGTGGGAGTGACAGGCAACTTGCCTTTCATCCGGATTTTGCATATGAACCAAAATGTGATATTTGTGTGTGTTGTTAAGCCCTATTTCTAAAGATAAAACTGTTTAATTATTTTGTTTTATAGATTGGCATTAACCCTGGATTAATGGCTGCTTACAAAGGGCATCATTACCCTGGACCTGGAAATCATTTCTGTAAGTGTCTACTTTTTACGTTACTTTAGAATGAAATATTTTTATTAGGATTAATAGGCTGATTTTATGAGAATGATACAAATAAAATAGACTTATTTGGCATGCCTCTGAGTCTATACATGACAATCAAGTATCTGAAGTGGTATTTCATTGTTTACATTTGGTACAGTAAGTATCAGAAGGCATGGAAAAGTACTTTCTGATGTTTTTTGTGGAGCTGGGGATCAAACACTGAGCATGCTAAGCATATACTCTATAACTGGCTAACTGCCATATCTTCTCTTTGCTCAAAATGTTTTCAAGGTTTTACAGATTTATTTATTATTGTTAACTACTTTTTTAAAAAAAGTATTGAGACAGAGTCTCTTTATGTAATTCTGACTATTCAGGAACTATACAGTAGTTGGCTTGAACTCACAGAGAGATACCCCTGCCTTTGCCTCCCAAGTGCTGGGATTAAAGGTGTGTGGCACCATGCCTGGCTTTGATTTTTTTTAAGAGGGGTGTGTGTGTGTGTGTGTGTGTGTGTGTGTGTGTGTGTGTGTGTGTGTGTGTGTGTGTGTATGTATGTATCCCATAGATACAGTAATAATAGTACTTTACTGTGACAGTGTGGACCAGTGGTTCTCAACCTGTATGTATGTCGAGACCCCTTTGCCAAACCTCTGTATCCAAAAATATTTACATCATGATTCATAACAGTGGAAAAATTACGATTATGAAGTAGCAATGAAGATAATTTTATGGTTGCATGGGGTCACCATAATGTGAAGAACTGTAAGAAAGAGTTGTAACATTAGGAAGTTGAGAACCACTGGTGTAGACGAAAGTGTGGGTGTTCCCAGATTTTTGTGTTGTTAACTTGGAGAGATGAAAAGTATTGGTTGTGGAGATAGAGAGATTGCTCAGAGGTTAAGAACATTGGCTGTTTGATTCCCAGCACCCATATGGTGGCTTACCACTGCCTGTAACTAAGGTTCTAGGGGACCTGATGCCCTGTTTTGGCACCGACACCACATATGGTCCACAACACCCATTGTGGTTGTTTTTCTTTTCTTTTTTTTTCTTTCTTTCTTTTTTTTTTTTTTGGTCAATGTGACACAAGCTCAAAGTAATATGGTAAGAGGGAACCTCAGCTAAGAAAATGCCGCCATTTTCTTGACTAATGATTGCTGTGGGAAGGTCCACTCGCTGAAGGTGCTCCCACCCTGGGCAGGTGGTCCTGAGTTGTGTAAGGAAGTGGTCTGAGCAAGGCAGTAGGGAGCGTCCTCCATGGCCTCTGCATCACTTCCTGCCCTGACTTCTTTCATTGATGGAGTGTGACCTGAGAGATGTAAATTGAAATAAACGCATTCCTCCACAGATTGCATTTGGTCATGGTCTTTATCACAGCAATAGAAACCCTAAGACACACCCATACACGTTTAAAAAAAAGTTTCTTAAAAGAAATTTATTGTTATGTATCAGTTGTATGTAGATGCTTTGACATTCTCTGAAGATAGTTCCTTTAGAAGAAAACAGCAGTGAAAGCTCCTTTTTTAAATTTTTTTTTTTTGGTTTTTCAAGACAGGGTTTCTCTGTGTAGTTTTGGAGCATATCCTGGCACTCACTCTGGAGACCAGGCTGGCCTCAAACTCACAGAGATCTGCCTGCCTCTGCCTCCCGTGTGCTGAGATTAAAGGCGTGCGCCACCAACGCCCGGCGAGGGCTCATTTTTTACAAACAGGTTCTACTGCTGTGTTCTGATGCTCTACATGTGTTCATAGGGCCCTTTACTATGGCCTGCCAGAGCAGTGCATGTCCTCAACAAATACTGCTCATCCAAGAGTAAGACTTCAGATGTTTAGGCTGAGTAATGACACACTTGAAACCAGCACCATATTGTCCCTGTTATTATTATTTCTTTAATTCTGAGAAAGAGTGTCTTAGTTTACTCCACTCTCAAGGTGTGTTAGTTTAATCTGAGGTAGTGTAAGGGCGGATGGTAACATTACCAATAACTGGGTAAGAATGCAGTTTGAAACTGTGTGTGCAAAGAAGGTAATAGTTTCTTGTAGGAAAGTGATGTTATTAAAATCATAGTAATTAGCATGGTAATCCAAACCGCTGTCGTTATTCAATATGGTGTTAGACATAGGCTACTAATTTTTAATATATCTTCAGTCCTTTATCGCCCTTCAGTTTTAGCATCAGGATGTATACTATTCCATTGGTTTTTTGGTAGAATTTTCCGCTTTCTGTGGAAGTGACAGAGTCCTCTTTCACAGGGAAGTGTCTGTTCATGTCAGGACTGAGTGAGGTTCAGTTGAATCACATGGATGACCACACCTTACCCGGAAAGTATGGTATTGGCTTCACCAACATGGTGGAACGGACGACGCCAGGCAGCAAGGATTTGTCCAGGTAGCTGTAGAGCATGAGTGCATGGTGGTGCAGGCTCTCATGTTACTTAGGAACATTGCATGTGTGATGTTTATTGAGAGCTGCCTGAAGGCAGCAAGTTGCAAACTCTGCTGTGTTTATGTTCCTCACTGATCTTAATTCAATTTTAGTAAAGAATTCCGGGAAGGTGGAAGGATCCTAGTGCAGAAACTGCAGAAATACCAGCCACGAATAGCGGTGTTTAATGGAAAATGTGAGATTTACTTCCTCATTTTTATCTTTTCTCTATGCTAATGTCAAGGGCAGGGCTGAATATGTTTGTGTTTTTCTCCTTTAGGCATTTATGAAATTTTCAGTAAAGAAGTTTTTGGAGTAAAGGTTAAGAACTTGGAATTTGGGCTTCAGCCCCACAAGATCCCAGACACAGAAACTGTAAGTCTTCCGGGTCCATCTGTAAACCAACTAGGACTTCTAGCTAGTTGTCCTTTTCATTTGTCTCCGACATTGTCATTTTTGCCACCTGCTTTATTAAATAATTATCAGCTTACACTTTCAGATACAATTAGAGTTTTATGTAAAAGTATTTGCCAGCTAAATGTCAGAGGAACTGGCTCACACTACATTCAGAATATCACCAATGGCAGTTACTTAAAAATGCAAGGATACATATAAACACAATCCTTGGTGGTAAAATTAGCTATGTCATTTGTATATTTAATCCCAGCTTAATTTTAGAGCCATACACAGTAGATAAACAGCCAGCCAGCTGTCTGTTTTCTATATTACATAATCAAAGATATCATGAGACAGCCCTGTGCTTTCTCTTCTTAACATTTCATTTATTTATTTATTACTTTTTTATGTGCATGGGTGTTTGTTTGCATGTGTGTGTACCACATGTGTGCAATGCCAGTGGAGGCCAGAAGAGGGCACAAGATTCCCTGGGACTGGAGTTCCAGATGGTTGTGAGCCTCCACATGGATTCTGAGAATTGAACTCTGGGTCTTCTGTAAGAGCAACCAGTGCTCCTAACTGCCAAGATCTCTCTTCAGCCCCACATCCTGGTTTTCAATAATTTCCACAGAATATCTGCAGATATTTGGTTCTAATTTTGTTTAGTAGTCTTTTTGTGCTACTTAAGTACATAGGTTTTGGTTTTCTTGTCTTGTTTTATTTTGTTGTACTAGGTCTTTTGTGCATGCTAGGCAGTTACTCTACAACTTAGCTGCACCATGGCCCTCTTTTTTTAAAATTTTTATTTATGTATTTTTCTAGATATAGGTGCTTTGTCTGCACATATACCTGCACCCATAATATATGACTATGAGCTACTATGTGGTTGCTGGGAATTGAACTCAGATCCTCTGGAAGAGCAGCCAGTGCTCTTAACCTCTGAGCCATCTCTCCAGCCCAACCCTGACCCTCTTAAACATAGTTTTTATACAGGTTTCTTTTATTATTCAATTGGGGTGGGAGGTACTGGAGATTGAACCTGGTGTTTCTCACATGCTAGGCAAGTGCTCTACTACTGAGCTACGTCCCCAGCCTTCTTTTTACTTTTTGTTTTCAGATAGAGTCTCATTAGGATGTCCAAAGTAGTCTTCAAATCACTCTGTAGTTCAGGCTTTGCCATCCTCCTATTTCAGCCTCCAGAGTAGTCCCTGTACACAGCTTTTTAAAAACCACATGGTGCACACTGAGACAGAGGCAGGAGGATCTCTGTGAGTTCGAGGCCAGCCTGATCTACAAAGTGAGTTCCAAGACAGCCAGGGCTACACAGAGAAACCCTGCCTCAAAAAACAAAAACAGAAAAATCATATGGTACACAAGTCAGCATTTTTTGCATACATTTTATGGCATTGAGCCCCACACAACGCCTGCTATGTTAGAGACACCTTACATGCCATTTTAAATGATAGAGAATCCTAAAGACCTCAGAATAAAGCCTCTGCCATCTATATAAGTTTCAACTCCTTTTAAAAATCTCTCCCTGTCTTTTCCTATAAGCACTTGATTGGTGAGCAGCCCAGTTTGAACTCTGTTGCTGTGATAAACACCGTGACCAAAAGCAACTTGGGAAGAAAAGATTTATTTCCCCTTACAAATCACGCACCATCATGGAAGGAATCAAGAGCAGAAGCCCAGAAGCAGAAACTTAAGCATACTGTGGAAGACACTGCTTTCTGGCTTCCTCTGGATGCCTCAGCTTGCTGTCTTATAAAACCCAGGCTCTGGGGCTGGAGAGTTGGCTTGGTAGTTAAGAGCACTGGCTGCTCTCCCAGAGGACCTTGACTCAATTTCTAGCACCCACATAGCAGCTCACAACTGTCTGCATCTCCCCTTCCTGGAAATCCGGTACCCTCACACAGACATACATGCAGGCAAAACAAATATGCACATAAAATAAATCTTTAAACAAACAAAAAACTGGGCTCACTAGGGATGGCACTACTCACAGTGGCTGGGGCCAGGCCCTCCCATATATTAGCAGTTAAGAAAGTGCTTCATGGGGTGGGCAGGATGGTTCAGTGGGTTAAGACTTTTCTGCCAAGCCTGTCAAGCTATGTTCAGTCCCCAGATAGAGGTTGTAGGAGAGAACTGACTCCCACAAGTTGTCCTCTGAACTTCCAGTTGTACACACACCACATGCCCCAGCCCCCCACCCCCACCCCAAAATAAGATAGTGCCTCACAGACAAGATCACAGGCTAGTTTGATCTGGATAATTCTTCAGGTGATGTTGCCTCTTCACAGGTGATTCTGGACATGGATCAGTTGACAGCCAAGAAGTAACTATGGCAACTGTGGCAGTCTGTCTGTGGCCCTGCATTTGCCTTATACAGTATACTCTTTACTGTGAAATAAGAAGCTATTGATGTTACTAGTGCTTTAGTTCACAGAGAAAACTAGTGCTTTAGCTCACAGAGAAAACAATTTACTTTGGGGGGGGGGTGGAGTTTCACTATGTAGACCAGGCTGTCCTCAAACTCACAGAGATCCATTTGCCTGTGCTCCTGAGTGCTAGGATTAAAGGTGTGTGCCATCATACCCAGCCAGTCTACTCCAGGTCATTTTAATCTTGAAAATGTGCTGTTGTAAACATGTTAACATATTCACCTACATGTGTGTACATTAGGAGTTTCTCTAAAGATGCTATAATCAAATAATCAAATAATCAAATAATCAAAGCAAATTAATTATACTAGATGATAAGGAAGCCTCAAAGCAAAATTATAACATATGATAAAGAAACCATCTTTAAAAATCACTATAAATATAGTAGTCTATCCCCTCACTTCTGTGTAGAGAGGACAAAAGCAGCTTCTACTCTTTGAAGGCAGTTGTTACCAACCAAATTGATAAATATGTCTTTCCCTGTAGCTATCTACTCCTGGTATTTTATACAATTTCTGGGAACATTTCCAAATTAATGATGTATAGATCTTTTTCCTATAGTTGAAGAAAGAACTCAAAACAACCTAAAATCTACAATTGGCTCTGGCTAATAAGTTATAAACTGACATATAATGCAAAAAAAAAGTTATAAACTGCATTTTAAAGGCTTTTTTTTCCCCCTGCTTTACTCTATGATCAGAACATGTCTGAGATTTATTGTTGAGTGAGAAGACCAGCAAGTTGCAGGGCAGTTGATACCCTGGGACCTTTGATTGTCCATGAACACCTCGGGAACTCACAAGAGTGATTTCCTCAGCAAAGGGAGCCAGGTGAATAGAGAGCTGAGAGGGCAAGCTTCATCATAGATGCTACACCCTTTTGTTTCTTTTGAATTGTAAGACGTGTATAAAAAGAAAATATTGGTAGAGGAGCACTGGGGGGAGGGGAGCCATCATTTTTAATGTAAGTATCAAGTTATTAAGCCAAATAAAGGTAAGTTTTTCTAACCACAGTACGAGTAGATTCAATCAAGTGTTAAAAATCTCTGAAACTCTAAAACTTGTTGATCCCAGCTCTGCTACGTCATGCCATCTTCCAGTGCCAGATGTGCTCAGTTTCCAAGAGCCCAGGACAAGGTTCATTACTACATTAAGCTGAAGGACCTAAGAGACCAACTGAAAGGCATTGAGCGGAACACAGACGTGCAGGAGGTGCAATACACATTTGACCTACAGCTCGCACAAGGTTTGTTACCATCCCTTCCCTTCCCAATTTCTGTGTCTACAGAACAGTGAGCAGGAAGAAAGAAAACTGTAGCCAGATGCTCTAGTAATGGATCTCAGTGTGTGTTCACATCTCCTGTACCACGGTTTTCTTCCTATTCTGGGTCTAAGGAGCACCTCCCTGCCTAAAATTGAGTGTGGTGGATTTCCCAGTTCTTATAAAACCAATAGCAAACAGGGCTGGAGAGATGGCTCAGTGGGTAAAAACACTTGTTGCTCTTGTAGACTGGGTTCGGGTCTCAGAACCACTTCAGGCAGTTGTCAGCCACCAGTGATTGCAGTTCCAAGGGATCCATTGCCTTCTGGCCTCCTTGGTCACCTGCATGCATATAAACTCATGCAACTCATACAAATAAATAAATAAATAAATATAACAAATCTTTAAAAAAACTATAGCAAATCATATAATTCAGCTGAGTTTGCATAGAAGACTCTTAGACAACATCAGTCTCAGTCATCTTTCACCTTCTCCACAGAGGATGCAAAGAAGATGGCTGTCAAGGAAGAAAAGTATGATCCCGGTTACGAAGCCGCGTATGGCAGTGCTTACAGTGAAAACCCATGTCAGAGTGAATCTTGCAGCTTTGCTTCAAACGGGCTAAGTATGTTTCCCTCCAGATTTGTTCCTTTCAGAGGATTGAGAGGCAATGAGAGTGTAATAGAAACAGAAAGTAATTTTTGAAGATTTAGGAATCCTAATATAAAATGTAATTAAGTGACCGAATATTTTCACATCATTTCTTTTTTTTTATTAGTAATTTGTTTTTTACATTCTAATCCCAGTTCCCCCTCCCTCCTCTCCTACCACTCCCTCAACTCCCCACCATCCCCATCTGCTCCACGGAGAGGGTGAGGCCTCCCATAGGAAGTCTACTAAGTCTGTCCCATCATCTAGTTGAGGCAGGACCAAGGCACCTCTCCACCCTCACACCCCTGTGTCTAGGCTGAGCAAGGTATCTCTCCATATAGAATAGGCTCCACTAAGTCAGTTTTCGCATCATTTCTTAACTTACGGCTTCTTGCATCTCCCTCCCTGAATAACAAATGACAATTTCTGAGTCCTAGATCTGAAAATCTAGTAGAACCTTACAGTTGTTTTTAAAAGCTCGATTAGTATTTTAATAGTTCTCCTTCACTGCACTTTAAAACTCTCCCTATGACAACACTGAAACTTGGCAATGAACTTTTGATTCTTTTCCCTTCCCAGCAGCTGACAGTGCAGAGCTGAGAGGAGAAGCAGCTCCTGGTGGCGTTCCAAATGGGCAGTGGATGACACAGTCATTTACAGACCAGATCCCGTCCTTTAATAACTGTGGGACACAGGAGCAGGAAGAAGGAAGCCAGGCTTGATGATGGTCTCCTGAGCTCTGCCTCAGCACTGCAGTTTTAATGCAGTTGTGAGGCCCCAGAGTCTCCGTTTCCTAACAGTCGGTAGCGATAGTACCTTACACTAGTGGTGTAACTATACATGGAGCAGTTGTGTGGTAGAGTCAACTGCATGAACCTGTGTAGTTGAAAGGAAAAAGTAGGGTGTTTTCTACCTGAGTTTTGTATTTGAATTACTCATCATTCCAGCTTTTTATATACTAGATTTCATTTACGAAGAAACTTGCTTTCTTTGGGGAGTCACTTTGATGTAATTTTAAGACTCAACAGTTTGAATATATACGTATATATGCCATTATCCCTTTTAATGACTCAGAAGGGCATGCTAGTAAGAAACTGGGAGATTATGCCAATTTCCATGTAAAAAGCCAACCAGCCGTCAGTGGAGTCTGGTTAGTTTTGGAAGTTGGGGGTAAACTCAGAACTCCCTGGGTTGTAGTCACTCTCTCCAAATGGTGTGTATGGCAGTTGCTTAGTAACAGAAACAGAGTGTGGCCTGAACCCCGCCTTTGGCCTCCCACTCCTGTGTGTTGGTCCTCTCAGAGGCAGACACTGTTTTGCTGAGCTGGTAGGTTCCTGAGAATGCAGTCAACCTTTTATAGTTTGCCAATTGTGTTTTTTATTGAATTTCCTCATCAGTGTTTATCACTCTTCTAATTTTATCCTTGATGTGGGAAGTGGTAAGAAATGAACTTTCAGGGTGAGCAACACAATGCTGGAGGTGTTTGACAATTCTATTTAAACTGGTGCTGTGTGTACAGGGGTTTTAATAAGATAATGCAGAATTTTTCTTGCTAGTTTAACTAGTCAATAATTTAAAAATTATTGTCACTACTGTGTTACTGTAGACTAAGTGAACCTCATGAAAAGGTTGGCTGGAATTGTACCTTTGTGGTTTCTAATGCATTTTCCATGGTGCTACAAATAGCCCAGCCCATTAGGGCTGTGGGGTATTAAAACTGGGTATACAGAAATGCCTATTGCATTCACTCCTGATCACTTATGAATATTCTGACTTGGCACATATCCAAGGAGCATGCTGGTTTTGCTGTATGAAATGTCCGTGAGGTTTTTATATTCCACAGAGGTTATGTAGCCTATTCTTCTGTGAATAATAAGAGAAGCAGTTTCTTGTGAATCTTAACATGCCTTTTAGCTGTGACAGTGGGTCTTATTTTTCCTTGAGTCTAGGTCAAGCTTGTGTGAGTCATGTTGCTTTAAGATGTACTGCACTGCTGTTTACATGGACATTTTTTGCGGGTGCTCTGAAGTGCCTTGCATCAGGGATTAGGATCAACTGAATTATTTTTTCATGGGACCGTGTAAAGCATGTAACTAGGTATTGCTTTGGTATATGACTATTGTAGCTTTTCGGTAGATTTCCTTGAGTAGAGAAATACTTTAAATTATGACACTCTGGAGAAAGGGTGTGAGTATAGTCCCAGTACTTTTCACTGAACATGGCAAATAGTAGTAATGCTGATGTGTCCTACACATGACAGGATGGGGTTTTTCATTAAATAGTACTGAGATTTTTAATTCATATGAAAGTCTGGATGGTTTTTACAATAAATATTAAGAATGGCTATACAAGGTACAGACTTTTCTGTAGCAAGACTTAATGGTGTTCTTCCTCACTGTAAACCTGAAGACAGTTTACTTTCTATTGTATTTAACTTGTAATTCATGAGGAAAATCATAAAAACTTGAATATTTTATTTGTACAGATATCTTTTTATTTGTTGTGTTTGTTCACTTGTTTTTTGTGTTTTTCCAGACAGGGTTTCCCTGTGTAGCCCTGGCTGTTCTGGAACTCGCTCTGTAGACCAGGCTGGCTTGAACTCACAGAGATCCACCTGCTTATACCTCCTGAGTACTGGGATTAAAGGTATGTGCCACCACTGCCTGGCCTGGCAATATCTGGATTTTTTTTTTTTAATATCTGGATATTTTAGTTTTTAATGTTCATAAAAGACAAAACTGGCAAACTGTTAATAAAATTTTTACAAACCTGTAGCCAGGCATGGTGGCACATGCCTTTAATTCCAGTACTTAGGAGGCAGAGGCATGTAGATCTTGTTAGTTTGGGGACAGCCTGAGGTACACGGTGAGATCCTGTCTCAAAACACCAAAAAGAGGCAAGGGGTATAAAGGGCCAGTTCTAATTATCGCTTGAACTTGGAGAAGTTTAGTCTGCCTATTTGGCCCACGGCTCAGCTTGTACACAGTAGTTTGTCTCTTAATTGTAGATCATATATATCAGAGGCACTGTCCATAAAGAAGTGTTAGATAGGATACAGAGGGGCAGTTCCATTTTTATCCAGGGGACATTTTCAGGGTTGGAGCGTGTCATCTATTGTGATTGAGTTTAAAGATCCCTGCAGGGTCAGGAACAAACCAGCTTTCCCATAAGTCATTGTGAACACTAGGGAAATCCCAGGGTTTATGTCTTCCACTCCAGTGGAGTAGTTTAGCTTCCTGCAGAAAGTGCTCCGAATATCTTGCGTCAGGGTTCCAGCCTTCAGTGTGTGCAGAGGAAAATAGGTTTGTTAGTGAATACAGTTTATATGCAACATGGGATACAAGCTTACAGTAAAAGTTTCCAGTTAGCAGTCACATCTCAGCTAAGCCTCACTGGTGTGATACTACCAGTGTACACACAGCTGATAAAGTAAATACATCAAAGGGTTAGACAGTGAAGACAGCTTAACACTGCCACTCGTCAGAGTATTCTACAGTACTTCAAGAAAGTCATATAATTTATAAAAAAATCCATATTCTTGAAGAGTGGTGGTGGTGCACCCCTTTAATCCCAGCACTTGGAAGGCAGAGGCAGGCGGATCTCTGAGTTTGAGGCCAGCCTCCTCTACAGAGGAGTTCTAGGACAGGCTCCAAGGCTACACTGAAAAACCCTGTCTCTGGCGTGTTGTGGGGGGTGGGGGGACCGGTTACATGTCCTCTGCTGTTATGTTTCTTTCCATAACTGGAACTCCATTGAGTAGAGAAAAATGATTAGCTGGGATAATGATGTTCTGCTGCATGCCAGTGACAACAAAGCTGGCTTTTGTCACTCAGCACAGGTATGTCAGACAGCAGTTGCTATAGAGAATCTGGTTAGTCACCTCAGCCTGTGGTTACAGTTAGCAGCTTCCAGCCAGTCTCCACAAAGGAGCCCACATCTGGGAGGAGGCACTTGGACATGGAAGTCCAAGTGTCAGTGAGACATCTTCACCTCAGCTCCATGACACTGGTCTGAGATGAGAGTAACTTTTTTTTTTTTTTTTTTTTGGTTTTTCCAGACAGGGTTCTCTGTGTAGGTTTGGAGCCTCTCCTGGCACTCGCTCTGGAGACCGGGCGGGTCTGGAACTCACAGAGATCCGCCTGCCTCTGCCTCCGAGTGCTGGGATTAAAGGTGTGCGCCACCAACACCTGGCCGAGAGTACTTTTAACTAAATTGTTTGATAGATGTAAAATCTTTCTGTTTAGACCCAAACTTAGTACATCAAATCGTTACTGTTGTTTTCCACATCTAAAACAAATTAAAACCAGATCACTAATCAAACCATTGCTATATAGGCTGACTTTACAGACCTTGCCTGATTCCAAACCTTACAGAGAAAATCGGGTTATTTTTCCCTGGAAGATAATGATTTTGCTCCCGAAACACAAAGTGCTTTTTCCTTTTCCTTTTTTGTACATGTGGGCATGTATGGAAGGCCAAAGTTGACATCAGCTTTCTAACTCAGTTTCTTCCCAGTATTGAAGCAGTGGTCTCTCACTTAAACCTAGAGCTTGCCAATGTGGCTGGTCTAGCTAGCCAGCTTGCCCTGAGAGCCCCGTCTCTGCCCCCTGAGTCCTGGGATTGCTGGCTTTGTTGGCTTTTGCAAGAGTCCTGGGGATCCAAATTGTTCTCATGCTTGCATGGCAAGTGTTTTTTATCCACTGAGCCTCAGCCCAGTTTCACACAACTGTTCTTACAAATATTATTGACCTCCCCTTTGGTGGGATTTTTGTATATGGAAATGGAGAGATTTGACTTAACAGTCAGCATTCAAGTACCAGCTATCTAAGGCCATTGTATGCCAGTACACATCAGAGTGCCAGCTATCTAAGGCCACTGCACACCAGTACACACCAGAGTGCCAGCTAGCTATGGTCATTGTATGCTATTATACACCAGTAAGTTCTGTCCACAATGTTCTGTAGAACATTGCAAAGTAGAAGTTCTATGCTAAGCGTTAGTCCATAAGCTTTTATTTTAAATAAATCTTTTGCTATTTTTAAATTTATTTTTGTTTCATGTGCATCGCATGTATGTCTGTGTGAAGGTGTCAGATCCCTTGGAACTGGAATTACAGACAGTTGTGAGCTGCCATGTAGGTACTGGGAATTGAACCTGGGTCCTCTTCAAGAGCAATCAGTGCTTTTAACTGCTGAGCCATCTCTGCAGCCTAGGTTCATAAGCTTTTCGTGAATCCTGAAATGTACCATCTGGCAACTAAAGATACCAGCTGCATTGCAGATTCTGAGCCTGAGGGTTAAGGAGGTAGCATGGCCAAGGTCACCCCAAGGGTTTGAGACCATAGGCTATAGGTGGCATGGTGGTGTGGTCACTGGGTACAGTGTGCTCTTCTCTTGCTTACTGGCAGTACTTACCCAGGTGCCTTATGTGCCACAGAGGGTTGATGGTGGAATACTTCCCGTGAAACACAATCAGCATTGGAGAGGTAGCCACTCCTCCTCCCAGGGAGCTGCTGTACAGGTTTTCTCTAAGAAATGAGATGGAAAAGAAGCATTTGGTCTGGATCCCTCACAAATACCAATGCTAATATGGCCCTTCAAAAAAAAGATGTATGGGTCTCCTCTGCTTTTCTAATTTTTTATCTCAGGGTTTTGTTAGACATGGTCTCATAGCCAGACATTGGTGGCACACAACTTTAATCCCAGCACTCGGGAGGCAGAGGCAGGCAGATCTCTGAGTTCAAGACCAGCCTGGTCTACAAGAGCTAGTTCCAGGACAGCCTCCAAAGCTACAGAGAAACCCTGTCTTGGAAAAAAAAAAAAAATGGTCTCATGTCCTTGAAGTCCCTATGTAGCTGAAGGTAACTGAGTCAAGCCTATTGCCTTCACTTCCTGTGTGCTGCAATTGTAGACATGTACTATCCCACCTACCTCCCAATTTTTTTCTTATTTTTAAAATGATCAAACTTCAAAATGTAGAAAACCAGGAGCTCCCATACACATCATGTAGAGTCACAGTCTCCCATGCACATGATCCAGAGTCATGGTCTCCGGGTATATCACCTAACGTCCCACTCTCTCAAGGACATCCGGCCACACTCTTACGTGTGTCACCTAGATTCACAGTGTTACACTTGTTAACAGCTTGCCACTAACTCAAGGTTTTTGTGATAGGCACAGAAGATCAAATTCTTTATATTATTCATAACTACTAACAAGTTCAGTGTTATGATATATTAAGATACAGATAAAGGGGCTGGAGAGATGGCTCACCAGTTAAGAGCACTACTGGTGTTCCACAAAGGACCCCAGTTTGAGGTTCCCAGCACCCAGATAGTGACTCAACCATCTATGACTCCAGTTCCAAGGGATCCAACAACATCTTCTGGCCTCCAAGGATACCAATTATGCTTGTGCACAGACATACAAGAAGGAAGCAGAACACCATACACATAAAATTAAAAAGTTTTAAAAATGGGAGGAAAAATTGAGCCAGGTGTAGTGGTGCATGCCTTTAATCCCAGCACTCAGGAGGCAGAACAGGTGGATCTCTTTGAGTCCGAGGTCAGCCTGGTCTACAAGGCAAGTTCCAGAACAGCCAGGGCAGTTACAAAGAGAAACCCTGTCTCAAAAAGGAAAAGAAAAAAATTAGGTTCTATGAAATTAGCCTTAAGAGACTTTAATCCCAGCATATCAGTGGCAAAAGCTAGCCTGATTTCACAGCAAGTTTCAGGCCGGCAGGCCAGGGCTACAAAAAGCAGACACCCATAAGAGAAACTCAAAATAAATGAAGATTGCTCAGTGGAAAAGATTCAAGCCATATTACTAAGCAACTTACTAGGATATAAAAGGGAATGAATCCCTTACCTCTTAGCATCTCAATTCTTCAGATTTCTATCGTTTGGGAAAGAATTTCACCCATGCCCTTTAACTTGGTCTGCAGGTTCTATGAAAATCTGATCTCAGGTGCCTTTTTTAACTCTTGAGCTATGTAAAGATTAGCTGAGCCCTTTGTTTCCCAGCTGGGAACAATGGTGGCAGAGAAGCTCACACACATACTCCACATTCTTTTGCATCCATTTTTCCAGCTGCTTGGTGATGCGCTGGTGTTTCCATTCAGTCATGTTGGCGACAATCACACCAGGATTGAATGAGCAGGTGCTGGGGCTGATGCCAAGGTCCTTGATGGTCTTCTTCCGGTAGTCCAGATAGCCCATGTATGTGTTCTACAAAAGAACAGGGTGGAGTCTTCTGTTTCTGGAAAATAGTTATGTTCTCAGGGCTGTTGTGCACTATCTCTGGGCTTTTCTCTGCCACTAGCAGCTTTCCTTTGGTGTGTTTTGTTGTTTGAGGCAGGGTCTCACTTAGAACAGAGACTTAATGGTTACAGAAAATGGAGCCGCCCCATACCACCCCCATCCCCTGGAAGTTCCCACTGGCTTTGGATGGGGGAGATTGTGATCATCTGGAGTTGTGAGAAGGAATAGAGGGACAGGGACAGAGAAGGGTAAGGCAGGATTTCTAAGAGAACATGCACACCTGCAGTCCTACAAGTCGGTTGTTGTCTTGAGCGGAGGGCAAATCACAGTCATCCGAAAAGGCTGCTGCATGGCCCAGAGCCAAGGTGGTGTCATACAGTTCCTGGATGTCACCTGTGCTCAGAGGATCAGCAATTAAAACACAGCAAGTATCTCAGGGCTAGACAGAGCCTTAGCTTAATTCCTGACTTCAGTAAACAGTACAGGCTCAGCCAGGCATTGGTGGTGCACGCCTTTAATCCCAGCACTCGGGAGGCAGAGGCAGGCGGATCTCTGTGAGTTCAAGGCCAGCCTGGTCTCTAGAGTGAGTCCCAGGATAGGCTCCAAAGCTACACAGAGAAACCTTGTCTTGAAAAACAAACAAGCAAACAAAGAGTACAGGCTCCCTCTTTCCCCATGTGTGGTGGTGTTTTTAGGAACAGCGCATGCGCGTTGGGGAAGCCACTGAAATGTTAGGTCTGTGGCTGGTAGTTTTTGAATGCTCACCTTACCTGCATGTGGAAGAGCACACAACATGCACACACACAGCCACCTCAGGGGCACTTTAGTTCTACATGTTTTAGGAATGCAGAGAAGATGCTACCCGGTAATTACTGCAGACGTGGCAATCAGAGAGGGGCCCTCAAAAAGGCACTAGATTATCCAGAGAAATATCAAACCCTGCTTGCAAAATATGCCCAGTTTTACAACAATGCTGTATTCACTTTACAAAGTATTTGACGTCAACTAGCTACATGGAAAATGAAGGGAAAGTATGTCATTCTATTTTGCAAGGGTTCTTGGCAGTGAGTGAGTAAGTGTACCTTGTACAATGACATCGTCGTCCAAATAGATGACTTTCTCATGTTGATGGATAAGTAGTGGGAGATAAAATCGAACAAAGTTCAGCTGTTAAAACAAGAGAGACAGAGGAGGAGAAAAGCATATGGCTCAGGGTTGTGTGGTACCTACAAGCCGATTTAGCCCCAAGTATGGAATGGAATAAAACGGACTAAAGTGATGCCTTACCAGGCTTTTAGCACCCAATCCTCAGGCCTCTGGGGATGAGACCAGGCTGGCCCAGAGAAGCTCACCTAGATTCAGTCCCCACTCAATGTAGAAGTGCCCACGTCCCTTTCAGGGACAGTTGCAGTGGGAGTCCACAAAGCCCCCTAGTTAATCTTTTAGGATCCAGACTTCCTGCTTTCTCTACCTCCATCAATTAGATAACACTAAACTAATTAGCCTTAAGATATATTCTCTCACCAGGCATTGGTGGCGCACACCTTTAATCTCAACACTCAGAAGGCAGAGGCAGGCGGATCTCTGTGAGCTGTGAGTTTGAGGCCAGCCTGGTCTCCAGAGTGAGTGCCAGGATAGGCTCCAAAGCTACACAGAGAAACCCTGTCTCGAAAAACCAAAAGAATAATAAAAAAAAGATATATTCTCTCTCTCTCTCTCTCTCTCTCTCTCTCTCTCTCTCTCTCTCTCTCACACACACACACACACACACACACACACACACACACACACACACACCTGCTCTCCTCTTCATTTAGGAGAGGAACTCTTTATGGGGACTCCTATAAGAAAAATGACCCCAGTAGCTAGGAAAAGCATGGGTGTCTCCTAAATATGATGCCATTATCCCTGAGGCTCATAGGTGTCACACTGCTGGTCCCCTTGGCTTTTGGAAGAATATAAGCTAACTAATGATTACACACAGAAGATACAAGAGCTGAAGTGCTTCCGAGTGCTTTTTTGCCGGCCTCACTCCTTGGCCCACCTCCTGCTCCCACCCATAGCCATCTTCACACACACAAATGTAGTCTACATTTTTATGCCTTCTTTCTTTCCAATAGCTTCATCGTGCTTATATAAACCATCTTAAATCCTTCCTGGAGCAGGTGGCTGCTAAGTTATAAATAAGCTTTGTGGGGATCTAGCACTCATGAGTCTGAAATAGCCTATGTGTGCACCAGATGGTGTACTGGCTGCTTTTGTCAACATGACACAAGCTGGAGTTATCAGGGAGGAAGGAGCCTCAGTTGAGAAAAATGCCTCCATAAGATCCAGCTATAGGGCATTTTCTTAATTAGTGATCAATGGGGAGGGCCAGCCCATCCCTGGCTGGTGGTGCTGGGTTCTATAAGAAAGCAGGCTGAGCAAGCCATGGGAAGCAAGCCAGTAAGCAGCATTTCCCGATGGCCTCTGCATCAGCTCCTGCCTCCAGGATTCTGCCCTGCTTGAGTTCCTGTCCTGACTTCCTTCAGTGATGAACAAAGCCTTTCCTCGGAGCTGGCTTTTTGGTCATGGGGTTTCGCCACAGCAATAGAAACCCTAAGACAGAGGGCTAGGGCTCTATAGTGTACGTGAACTTGGGACTGTCCCCACCATGTGTGCGACTTTTACTCACAGGCTGTAGCAGCTCAGGCCTCGGTGAGTCTGGTCTAATCTTCCCCTTGAGGACTACAGGGTTGAACTCCACAATTTTGAAGTTTATTTCTTTCAGTTTAGAATGTTCGATCCATTTTCTAAAGAGATGACCAAGAACCTCTAGTACACACTTCAAATCCTTCCTTGATTTAATTTGCATGCTACCCCAGGGCTAATCTGTTCTGACCTTAGAGAGTTAAAATGACATGTTGGTAAACTGTTTCCATGCTATATAAATCCTTGTGATTGTGTCCCCTTGTGATCTAACTTTCAGCCTCCCCTCTCCCCACCCCCATCTTGTAACTATTTCTGCAAAGGAAATTAGCAAGATAGTAATATCCAAGTATATTCCCACATCCAAAAACCCTCCCAGAAAACTAGAGGAACAAGACGTGCTCCTTAGCAAGCAGCATCTGTACTTGCTAGACCAACAACTGCCACATGCTACTGCTGACACACAGATGGCATGCTCTGAGCCAAGCCTTCCTTGACTGTAGTCTAGTTCCCTCCTCTGTCTCTCAGTCCCCTCCTCTGCTCCACCCTGTCTCCTTTCCCCCACCCTCTCCCCTGCATGGCTCACTCTCACAGGGTGTATGTCTTTCATCTGATTCATTATGAGAATATAATGGTAGAAATAATTGAAAAACAAAGATGGCAATGACCCAAGCCACGAATGGCAACATCTGCTGTTGATTGCAGATTGGCAGAAGAGAGCTGGGGGGTCGATAGCTCAGCAGCAGAATTCTTGCCACTGTTGGGGAGAATGTGGCAGTTGTCACAAAGGCATATTTATTTGCTTGCAGTGATTTACTGAGATGTACAGTGGGTTTATACCTCCTACTTGTATTCTTCTTCAATGAGAACTGGTTTTAAAATGTTTGAACATTGGGGGAGGAGGAAGGACCAACAGCCAGGAACTGGGAGATAGCCCACTTTGTTGGCCATTTGTATCTCTATGATTTGTGGGATCTATTCTTTTTTGGTTGGTTGGTTATTTGGCTAGTTTGTGCAGCCCGGTCTGGTCTCTAATTTACAATGTTTTTTCCTCAGCCTCTTGAGTACTAACTAGAGTTTAGTGTTGGCTCTTGGTTGCTGTGTTGTTTACAGAGCTGGGGACAGAATCTTGGGCCTTGGTGTCCATTAGTATTTTATGCTCATTTTCCACTAGGCTTACATTTTTAAAATTTTTTTGCAACAATTCATTATAAGCCAAAATTTTTAACTAATCAATTTTATGGCTAATTCCATTCACTGTTCTTCATTATTCAGAAGTTCTTGCGTTATACAGACAAGTCTGTCAGCTTTTTCTTCTAATTTTTGGGCTCAGGGAGCTACTGTCCAAACCAAGATTACACCATTATCCTATATTTCTAAACACATTTAAAATTTGATTTTCTGTTGATTTCTTCTTACTCCAATTCATTTTTTAAATATGGCATGTTATAGGAAAAATAAGTTCAAAATTATAATATGACCTATAAAGTTGTATTATTGTAAGTTTATAGTTCAAACATTACAGGCCAAGTATGATTCAGTGGTAGAGCCTGTATTTAATCTGTGTGAGACATGTACTCAGTCTCCATCCCCTCCCCCCCCAAAATAGTGAGGATTATGCAAATATTTTCCTAGGTTAGGAAAACAGAGGGGAAATTAAAAAGAACAATTGTTTTCCCTTCTCTGCTGGCTATTGAACTCAGTTCCTCACACATGTATTCTATCACTGAGCTACACCCCTTCTCTGTTTTATTTTTTATTTTGAGATTGGGTCTCATAGAGTTGCTTAGGCTGGTCTTCCCTCTGTATTTTGGAGTGATCCTGCCAGCCCCACCTCCTGCGTAGCTAGGATCACAGGCCTTTGCCAGCCTGCCTAAGAAGAAATACTTGAAAGACTTTCGGGTAAGTTGCTTCAGGACTGGTTTTTTCTTTTTTCTTTTTTTTTTTTTTAGTTCACTGGACAGTTCATATCTCCAGAAATACCTATTGCCCTACTTAACTAATGAGGTTTTGCTGATATTTCCTCATCTAGAAACACATTAGTCAAGTCTCAAATAAACCCAGGACTTCCACTCAATAATTCTAATGATAGTCATAAATCTCGAAGAAGAGGAAGCAGGAGAAGCTGAAGGTGGTAAGGGCCCATCTAAAGAGAAAAAAAACGATTAAAAGAAAATATAACACTCCAAAACCACAGTGTACAAACTACCTTATTCGAGACAGAGTGTTCCGTAGTCCAACTACATAGAACACAATGTTAGCATCAGTGTTGCTGTGGATGCTGTTGATGGCAGCCATGGTGGCTCCCATCCTCCCTGCAGCCGCACAGATCACCACTGGAATCTCCTCTTCCATGTCCTCAGGGGACTCAGATTCATCATCTGAAAAACAAACAAACAAACAACAACAAAAAAGCAACCCATCAAAATCAGTGTCTCAGATCACAAGGACCACCATAGGAGAGAAGTCTGACTCCTAATCCGCAGTGCTGATGAGAATTGTTCTCCAACATCGAGGCTGGGAAGGACCATTCTCCAACATCCAGGCTCTCCTCCGGCCCTTGGACACAAGTGTGAAAATTTCAGCTGGCACACGGCCAAACACTAAAACTAATTTTACCATTCCCTTATGATCAAGTTGGATAATCAAGTTGGACAAATGGGATGTTGTTTAAAGTAATGAGTGCATCTGTAGGGTCCCCGAGTAATGCTCCATACCCTCCCTCCCTTGACACATATGATGTGGAAAACCTTTGATTGAAAATGCCTAAAGACATCAGAACCATAAGGTATGAAGGATTTTGACCTTAAAGGCTGAGGAATCCACATCAGATTTTCAAGAAAGATAGGGTAAACTTCTAAGTCTCTATTATTTGGGGGCTCTTTTTCAGAAGCCAGTACACAGCTGAAACACACAAAGAACTGCAGAGCCTCTCAGGCCCGCAGTCAGAACTCCCCGAGTCAGGACTGGTCTGGCCTGTACTGCTATGATGTTTCTGCTGCTCTCAGTCAATACTCTCAGGTGTTAGCAACAAGAGGAAGGAGTAACAAAGGGGTGTGGCTAGCGCTCATGATGAACAACTGATCCTTCTTCAGCACCAGAGGAGACAAAACACCATTGCTACCTACCATGTTACATTTTGGTGCCATGGTGCAACCTGCATTGTGAAGAATAACCTGAGTTTTATTAAACTTCATCTCTCTTTGCAGACAGTTTTACAAAACCTCTCTCACCTAGGTCCAAGGTAGTTCTAGCTGATATTTAATTCAATAAATACTTACTGAAACAAGTTACTAGGTATATTTTGTATAACTTACTAAACATTAAATGGCTTTTCCATCTCTTTATTTTTTTTCTATTCGCTTCTGCTTCTGCTACTAGAAAAAATTGTTTTCATGACATATTTCCTGACTTGAGAGAATCTCATAATATATTTTGAAGGAGAAAAGAATATAAAATTCTTAGCTGGGCATGATGGCACACGTGGAGGCAGAGGTGGGTGGACCCCTGTGGGTTTGAAGCCAGCTTGGGCTATATGATGAGTTTCTGGCCATCTGGGGCTGCATAGAGAAACCCTGTCAATAAATGAATAACTGAGACCCTTTGTGGTCTTTGATCCTAATGTGATACATATTCACCTACAAATTTATCTGTGTCTACTTAGGAAATTATAAGTGATTTTAATTTTGTTTGCATTCCTTACAGTTTTTCAAATTCTCTAAGTAACCATGAATTTTTTATAAACAAATAAAATAATCTTTTGGAGGCAGCATCTCATATAGCCCATGCCAGATTCAAACCTATGTACAAGGATGACGTGTTACCACACTTCCCAAGTGGTTAGATTACTGCATCCAGTTTAAAAAAGCAAAACAAAAACAGACTTGTTTACGGACTGTTCACTTAGCAGGAAGTTGTCACCATGCAGCCATGTGTGGTGATCTAGGTGATCTAATTGACTTGCAGACTTGGCTGTGCCGCTTCACCACTGGTAGTTCTTCAGCAATACCAAATACCTCTCAATTTCCTCCAGGAGAGAGAGGGGGGGGAAGGAGATGAAGAGGTAGAGAGAGAGAGATAGAGAGAGAGAGAGAGAGAGACTGTGTGTCTGTGTGTCTGTGTGTCTGTGTGTACGTGTACATAAGTGCAGATGTCCATGGATGCCAGAAGAGGGCATCAGATCCTCTGGCACTAGAGCTACTGATGGTTGTGAGTTGCTTACTGCAGATGCTGGGGACCAGCCTTGATCTTCTGCAAGAAGAGCAGTTCTCTTTACCTCTTCACCACAGAGCCTCTTTCCAGCCCTCTGAAGGGTCACTTTTCCTTCCTTCCTTCTTTCCATCTTTCCTTCTTCCTTCCTTTCTTATTTTTTTTTTTTTTTGGTTTTGTTTTGTTTTTCAAGACAGGGTTTCTCTTTGTAGCTTTGTAGACCAAGCTGGCCCCGAACTCACAGAGATCCGCCTGCCTCTGCCTCCCCAGTGCTGAGATTAAAGGTGTGTGCCACCACTGCCCGCCTGAAGGGCCACTTTTAAGGTTGAACTATTGGAAGCTGTTTACAGACTACTGGGAATGGATCAGCAAGAAGAGAAAAGGGGGCAATTCTCAAAGGCAAAATAAGGAAGAGGTTCTAACAGTACAAGGTACAGAGCAGTCCCTCAGGGTGGGTCCAAGAACTGAGAGTGCTAGCACCAACTTGGAGCTTATAAGAAAGGCAAATTTCGGGTCATCCTTTGTGGTGCTCAGCCTCTCAGATGGGATCTGGTAATGAGTTTTTGTTTTGTTCGTTTGAGACAGGGTCTCACTTTGTAACTCTGATTGGCCCTGAACTCTCTGTGTAGCCCAGGTTAACCTCAAACTCACAACCCTCCTACCTTAACCTCCAGAGACTGGGATCACAGATGTGTGTACCACACCAGTCCAGGTGTGTTCTAACAAGCCCTCCATGTGACATTTACATATGCTACAGTTTGAACAGCACTGATCATTCTGGAGCATAACCAAACTGCACCCTAGGGAAGATACTTATAAGCTGGCCCATGGGAATTAACCACATTGTCATTTGCCCCTAAACCCAACCACTGAAAGGATCCAGTGGGAAACACTGAAACCACCTTCTTTGGTGTCTTGCTGACAGATTCCATGTTTGCTTGCTCACCTGCTTCATGCTTGAGTACAGCTGTCTTATGAACTTTCTTGTACAGAATCCCACAAAGGGTTAGGACCAGAAGGAACAGCAACACTTGATTAACTGAAATAAAGAGGAAAATACATGACAAATTGATCAATCTCAAACATCTTAAAAGGAAGGAAGGAAGGAAGGAAGGAAGGAAGGAAGGAAGGAAGGAAGGAAGGAAGGAAGGAAATCCAGAACAGCAGCTTGGGCAGTCTGGGGCTGACTGCACACAGCATGTAGAGTGCATTACCTGGTGAGCTGTGGCCAGCCTCCTCAAAGTCCCAGGCAGTCTGGTGGCAGAGGCCTCAGACTCAGTCACCACAATTGCATGAATATTTGATCTGTTATATAAACAACTTCATTTCTAGAATGCCTTTTGTGAACTACAGCTAATTCTGAACAGACTTAAAGGGTAGAAGTGAGTTGTGCTTCAGTTGATTGAAATTCCAGTCCAGGATGACATGCAGAGCATCCTGGCTCCGGGTCAGGACCTCAATGCTTCTAGGTCTCAGCCTCCAGCTGTTCCACATTAGTGATGATTTCTTGGGATTTACCAAGAAATGGGATGGTGCTGGGCAACACATTGCTTGTTGTTGGTAAAATGACTGGGGCATTAGTGAACTGCCATGTGAGTGCTGGGTATTGAACCTCAGTCCTCTGAAAGAGCAGTCAGTGCTCTTAACCACTGAGCCATCTCTTCAGCCACGACTGGGGCATTTGTGTTCACAGAGTTAGGCGACATCAAATAGTGTAAAAAATAAAAGCCAGTTTCTGACTTCAACATTGCAGGCAAGCAACACAAGATATTCAAAACTGAATGTTCTTCTAATTGAATGTATTTTACAAATAATCTTTTCATGACAAGAGATAGATATTTTCATATTTACAGATAGGATAGAAACTTTGTTATGAAATACACCTCCAAATATTAAACATGAATGAATTTAAAGAAGACATCTAATGTGGAAGCCAGAAGGAACACAGATGACTGAAATTGGGAAGATGTGACTTTGCCATAGCCCAAGCACAAGTGTGAAGTGTGGGGTGTGCTGTGACCCAGCCCTGTGGCCCCAGGCTCACCAGGCAGAGGCAGGAGGATCACAGGGAGTCCAAGCCTGCCTGAGCTATACTGTAACTCTGTGTGGGGAAGGAAAGGAGCTGGTATACGAAGTCAGATTCAAACCTCATTTTTATCACCTCCTAGCTGTGCAAACAACTTCCCCAAGCCTCTGTGGGCTTCCCTTGATACAAATAAAAATGTAAACTATTTCTCTAAAGGCAATTATTGGCTTCAAGCTAGTCTATTTTTTGACCCTCAAGCTTTTGTGTTCATATTTGTAAAAGAACTGACCTAGAGAGTCTTTGATTCCTTCCCAAAGTACACGGGGCACCTTTTGGTGGTTCAGTTTGCTGAGGTTCAGCTTCAAGCTCTCCCTCCCACCCTTTTTTTGGGGAAGATTTAGCCATGGATAGCCACATGCCAGGAAGAAGTAAAAGGTCTACATGTCTCAGGAGATCTGATGACTATTCACCTGCCACCGTGTTTAGAGAGATGGCCCAATATCTGACCCTCCCATGACTGTGACCACTAACAAAACGTTGCCAGGAAAAAAAATTTAGGTTAAGTATGTCCCAGGCAATATTTGGAACATAACACTAAAAATAATTCCTCATTTATATGAGGTTCACATTTAGTTGGATGCCTTTCATTTTCATTTAAATCAAGCAACACTAAAAGTAATAGTAACAGCATTAGGTTATTGTGTTTTTCTCTTATATTTTTGGTTGTGAGCCTAGCCTTTAACAGCTGAGCCATTTTTTCCAGCCCATTTTTCTCAAACTAATAATGTTCTATCTAAATCAGAAGAATATGGATGTTTAAAAGGTCTGATGACTTGACATGACCCTTTAAGAACAAGAATAGAACCTTACAAACGCTTAGGCATGAATGAGAATACTTATTTAGAGTAAGGAAATGATTGTAATAGCAGGTTTTATTAAAAAAAGATCTGATCCAGGTCTGGTGGTGGTGGCACATGCCTATAACCCCAGTGCTATGAGCTGGAGGCTAGCCTAGTTTACAGAGCTAGTTCCAGGATAGCTGGTCTATCCAGAGAAACCCTGTCTAGGGAAAAAACCATATATATATATTATATAATGGTCAGTCCATTTCTAACCAAACTCTCAACAACATCCCACAGGAATCATCCAATGACCATGCCAAAATTGCTTGTGGGAAAATGATCTATGAAAATCACACACACCGGGCGGTGGTGGCGCATGCCTTTAATCCCAGCACTTGGGAGGCAGAGGCAGGCGGATCTCTGTGAGTTCGAGACCAGCCTGGTCTACAAGAGCTAGTTCCAGGACAGCCTCCAAAGCCACAGAGAAACCCTGTCTCAGAAAACCAGAAAAAAAAGTTACATGCATGACTCACCCAGAGCCCCAGATTTTTTGCTGGGCATGTCTGTAGAGAGAGAGAGAGAGAGAGAGAGAGAGAGAGAGAGAGAATCATTAAAACACTCTTCGGAACATCTTTCTTCATAGTTCTTTTCACAAGTTCAATTCTTACTTTTGCGTAGAAGAGCCATGTGTATCCACCTGGATAAGAACGAGGACCTGTGGACTAAAGAGCAAAATGTCATTAAAAGAAAAAAATCAATGCCAAAGACACCAGTTTTAAGACCTGCATCTTCTCTGGAAACCTGGTATGTTGGAAGTATATATCTACCACTGCTGTTTGGGGGAGAAGATAAATATCTCTTGGATGTGGTCTCTGTTTCTTGTTGCTGTGATGGAGCATCCTGACAAAGGCAACTCAAGAGAGCACCGACTTGTTTTGGCTCACAGTTCAAGAGTATAGCCCATCATGGCAAGGAAGCAGGAGCTTAAAGAAGATAGTCACATTGCTTCAAGAGTACAGTCCAGCCAGGCGGTGGTGGCACATGCCTTTGGAGGCAGGGGGAAGTGGATCTCTGGGTCCTATACTGGCATGTTCTATAGAGTGAGTTCCAGAATAGCCAAGGCTACACAGAGCAATCCTGTCTTGAAAAATAAAGCAACAGCAACAACAAAAGTTCAACCATTAGAGACAAATTTTATTTTATTTTGTGTAGCTGTTCTGCAACTTGTTTTGATCAAACTGGTCTCGTTGAACTCACAGAGTTTCACCTACCTACTTTTTTAATTAATTAAATTTTTTCATTTATTTTACATCTTGACCACAGTTTCTGCTCCCTCCCCATATCCCCCCATCCTGCCAGTGGTCCTACTCTGTAGGGCACACGAGCCAGTCAAAGATGGCACTGAGGGAAGTCAAATGGGCACCTAGGCATGTGATAGACTGACCTTTAATACTATTGGCTGCCTGTTTTCCCGATCTGTGGTGTTTTGCTTTAAAAGATGCTTGCTGTGGAACAATAAATGAGTTCCTGCTTGACTAGACTCCCTGATGCGTCTGATTGTCTCCGGGATTCTGGGAGGCTGGGGAACAGGCAAGCAGTGCACTTACTCTTCCCAGCTCAGCCTTCCATGGTTGGGCTAAGACCTTGCACTCCTCTGTCTCCATCTCTGTTCAAAAAGGGCCAGGCCTCCCATAGGTGTCAACAAAGAATGGTACATCAAGATAAGGCAGGACCAAGCTCTTTCCTCTGCATCAAGATTGGGCAAGGTAATCAAGCATGGGAAATAGGTTCCCAAAAGCCAGCTCAAGCACCAGGGACAGGTCCTGATCCCACTGCTAGGAGCCCTCACCTACCTACCTGCCTCTGTCTCCTGAGTGAGAACTGGGACTAAAGGCATGTGATACCACATCTAGACTCTACATCTGAAAACCTAAAATAAATTTTTATGACATTTATATATGCATTAATAATGCATTTTGCCAATCAGTCCAGATGGAAAATGACTTTTTTTTAAAGTTTACCATAAATAGCAATTTATCTTGGAAACTCAGTTTATTATAAAATTAAGTGGTTCTGTCTACTGTATGGTCCTTCAAGAGAACTTCTGACTTTCACTTTTGACTGGAGGCTGTAGACAGTAACTAATAAGCTCCAGGAACCAGCAGCACATAGTCTAAAGGAGGCAAATGAGATTCGACATACACCAGGGTTTCTGCACTAGAATGTGGTGAGAATTTGTTGACAATGACCCAGGCAACTCATCACCAGAGATTTGAGGCAAGACTTTATTTCACTATAAATACCCAATCACACTGTCATCTCTATTTCCCTGTCCTCTCCGGCACACCAAGGAACTCAAGAGTGCATTTGGGTGGCCCTCCCCAACCCTCAGTGAAACAGCACATTGCTTAGAATTTCTCAGAGATAAGATCTTAGGTATTTTTTTAATCCATTTACACCTCCAAGTGATACTTATTTATCTAATTTTCAGGGGTAATGCCATCTCAGAATGGTTTTAGCCACATAGTTCCTCCTCCCACTTGCTGAATGAAGCCATGTGGTACCAGAGTTCCAGAAGGAAGTTCTTCCTTGGGCACTTCTACTTAGGTCAGTAAATTTTTCCTTCCTTCCTTTCTTCCTTCCTTCCTTCCTTTCCTTTTTCCTTTTTCCTTTTTTTTTTTTTTTGAGACAGGGTCTCACTATGTAGCTCTGAATATCCTAGAACTCACTACGTAGACCAGGCTGGTCTCAGTTTCATAGAGATCCAGATGCCACTAGCTCCTGAGTACTGGGATTAAAGATGTGAGCTTCTCTGTCTGGCTAGGTTCAATTACTTTAAAACAAATACATTTGCTATGGCCAATATGTCGAGTGGAGGAGGGTCATTTAGGTCCACTGCCTCCTTCAATTCTTACAATTCTTTTTCACATGGAGACATTACTCTTCGTTCTTTAAGTGGGGAAATGTGGCTCAGGAGGGCTCAGAGACCCTAGCACACATCCTGCCTTTGAAATTCTCCCCACAGTGTTCCTGTTTTGGGTTTCTGAGTCTTGTTCCGTTTACTGTCTTTATCCTCCAGTCAAATGTCAAAATCACACAGTCTGTCAGTGGTAGAACAGGTACCAACTCAAAATGAATGAACCACAAAGTTCTAGAATTCTCTCTAGGATTCCATCAGGGGCCAGTGAGTTTGGTGCCAGGTGGTGGAGTTTACTGTGCTCAAGTGCTGCCTCAGCTGCAAATGGGGGCTCATCTTTCCCTCTCAGGCTGCCAACTCTGAAATCTCCAGGAGATGAAACAAGCAACTTCAGAAAATTAGCACTGGTATGGCTACTCGCAAGGCACCACAAGGAGTCAAGGAGGAGGGATGTTCCTGAAGCAGACAGAGTGTAGGAAGCTCTAAGTCACATGACATCTCCTTGAGAAGCAAAGCATTCCCACAGAAAGCCTGCTTTATACAAACGGTGGAATGTACCTCTGTTTCTCTGGCATGTACACAGTTCGGTCTGCAGCACTGGGGAGGGTGGGCCATGTTAAATTGTATCCTCTTCTCCATCTTACAGTTTCATCTCCTCTCTGATAACATGGCTTTATGGACCTTAAAATCCCAATGGTAAACACAACAGAAACTTCTGCAGTCATAGGACCAAATAGAGATCATTCTCCAATATGATAGCATGCTGCCAGGTTAGAAGGCCATTTTGCAGTCACATGAACTAAGGTTCACATCCTAGCAGCTCCACCATACATAAGACCTCTGCCCTAGGAAAGTTAGATACCATGCCAATTCAAGAAAAAAGTAAGCCAATAATATAGTGAGAGGTTGTTGGGAAACAAGAAATTCATAATCTCAAAGTATCACTTGATTAGTTATTAATTGCAAAAGGGACTTCTCAAGAATTGAAGTGGAAAATCCCATCTCAGTGAAGTACATGGATTCCGCATCATCAAAAGCAGAAAAAACTGAAACCCTAGTCTCAGGAAGTGAGGGACACTGGGGTATTCCCTCCAATGTCTTTTCATCTATTCTATCAAGAACAGGGCACAGTCAAGTCCAAATTGTGCTTCATTCTGAACTCTTTGAATATGTGAATGTCTTGAAAGAACAAAAGGCTGACTGTTGTCAAGTGAGCACAATGTGCTGGTCACATTGCCTTCTAGATCTCTGTGTCCGCTGTGTTCTGCTATCAACTTTGGTCAGGGAAGCTTCCTCCGCAGTGAGTGACAGTCAGATTCACAACGCTCAAAGCACTGGCAATAAGAGATTTCTGAGTATTCAGCCATAAATGGGACATTTATATGATGGGGGGGGCAAAAGAGCCAGAGGAAAGAGTACTGTGGATCACAGTCTGCCAGGCAGCACATGACCTTTCGAAGTCACAGCAACTATGACTACCTGTGTAAGACCTGCACAAGATTGGTCTGTCAACATTCTGCCACAGATAGGGAGGGCATCAGGAGCTCTCACCACTCCCTTAGAGCTTACAGGAAATGAGTGAGTGGGAGGGGGCAAGAAAGGGTAAAAAATTATCTTGGGTTTGTAGAGACCACTCAGTGGTTAAGAATGGACCAAATCCAAGTTCAGTCCCCGAGCTCCATTTGGGTAGCTCATGACTGCCTGTAACTCTGGCCTAGAAAGCTAAAGCCTCTGACCTCCTCAGGCACCTGTGCTCACAAGCATACCCTCCCCTCCCTCACCTGGTCTCACAAACATATAACTAAATAAAAACAAATCTTTAAAAAAAATACTGGAACATCTCTAGAGACTCGACAGTGAGAGTGAATAATGCCCCTGACTATGTACTTAAAGACAGGGTATCTGGGCAGTGGTGGTGCACGCCCTGAGTCCCAGCACAGAGGCAGAGGCAGGTGGATCTCTGTGAGTTCCAGGCCAGCCTGGTCTACAGAGCGAGTTCCAAAGCAGGCTCCAAAGCTACACAGAGAAACCCTGTCTCGAAAAACAAAAACAAACAAAACAAACAAAAATCAATAAACAATTAAATAAATAAAACCAGTGATATATTTATTATTGGAAAAGGTAAGGAATACCATTGCATCAATGTTACATTTCCTTAGTGGATAGCAATAGAATATATCCTCAAACACAAGAGACACACACATACATTTAGCAGTGAAGGGATAGGATATTAAGGGGTGTATACAAAGGAAGTGATGAAGACAAAGTGATTGTGACACGGAACTAATCATTAGTTAGTCAGTAAATAAATGCTTACTATACAATTCTGCTACACTTTCATAAGTTAAAATTGTATCTAAGCAAAAAGTATGGGAACATCACAGGAATAAGCTTTTGTGAGTATTAAATATAACAATCACAGAACACTCTTTAAACCTCATGTGGCCAACAGCAGAAGTCTCGTTAATAAGAGGCATTGGGGTTGGAGAGATGGCTCAGAGGTTAAGAGCGCTGGCTGCTCTTCCAGAGGTCCTGAGTTCAATTCCCAACAACCACATGGTCTCACAGCCATCTGTAATGAGATTTGGTGCCCTCTTCTGGCCTGCAGGCATGCATCCAGATAGAACAGAATACTGTATATATAATAAATAAATAAGTCAAAAAAAAAAAAAAGAGGAACTGACTGGTTGATACTAGAACAGACAACTCTATTACATCTAACTTCTAGAACTTTTTATGAATCTCCCTTCAAATAAGTTGACTGAGGTCAAAAGACTCAATCTTATCAAGATGTCCATAAGTGCC